AATATATAAAATGCAACAATAATAAATGATCAGGAATAATAATAAAAAATCCAGTTTTCCTTCTTCCTTTCATATTTTATGTCGGATATTGTATAATAAACAGGAGAGAAAATTAGTATACTGTTCCGAGAACAAACACAGAAACAAAAATCATAGTTTTAACGAAAAATAGTTTGGTTTCATACATTTATAAGATTATAGGCTTACAAATAACCAAAAATAGAAACTCTAAGACAAAAGGATGTATTTTTAATATTAAAAAAAATAGCGTTTCACAAGAAAATTTCCCTAAAATTCACAGTCTAAAATAGTACAACAAATTATTACTTTTTTTTAAGCAGAAACTAGATATTATGTAGAAAGTGTGCACCAAATTTCGTGCAGTTTGGTTAAGTATTTTACGTATGAGAACAAATTAGACGGGGTGACACAATGTTAACCATGTGATCTTAATAGGGTTAATATACTTCTAATGTGGGGTTGATAGTTAAAACTGAAGCCTATTCAATTGATCGCTACATCACTTATTAGAAAGTAGGTTAAGTAATTAACATTTTTTCTAAGAATATAATTACAGAAAAAATAAGATTTCCCCATTGTTATCTAAATTCCCCACTTTAAAATATTGGTTTGATTTTTCCCACAAATGGGGAATGTTCCCTTATCTGGCAACCCTGCTAAATTCATGAAATAAATTTATTTTAGAATTTAGAACAAGTACTTATAAGAAAACGTAAAGACGATAGTAAAGCTAAACATTTTATTGGACGTTTCAGATTATACATCATCCATCTTCAGCAGATTGCTACACAAGTAATAAAATGACAACCAAGTATTTACAGACATAATAAATAATTGAATAACAAAACAGATGGTAAATATTTCAATGTAGAATTACTTGTTTAAAAACAGTTGCAGTTGCAAAGAAGCTGTGTAGTTGTTGAGTGTTGGTTAATGTTTATTAATTAATAAGATTTATTTTATCGAGAGTTTAATATCCAATCACATGATAATCTCCTTTCACCCCGTGGCTCTAGACCTGGTATTTTATACGTCCTACTGAAAGTGTATAAGAAAAAAAAAAAAGATACCCCTCTTCAACTTATTCTTTCCTCTCTCAACTCTCATTCCTAAAATCTCGTAAAACGCTTTGTTTCAATTCTCAAAACATTTAATTTACTACTGATTAATTTACTGCTAATGATTCCTTTGACTTTGTTCAACAAATTTATTTTCTGCCTTCCCACCCTAACTGTGCAAGCCGTGACATTACTTCTCTTTACAAAAAAAAATTCCTATTCTCAAAACGTTTGACATTTGTCTCTTTAAAGATAATACTACACATGTTAATGGTTTAAATCGT